AGCAGGATGAGCTAACTTTCTAAGGCTGATGTCACCCTAACCTTTGCCTATCCAGGAGCAGAGGGAAAGTAAGGCCACTTGGCCCCAGCTCACCATCAAAGCCTCTTGCTGAGCCCAGGGTATGGGAAGAGCAGCTGACTTGACCTGTGCACTGCACATGGCATGTTATATAATTTTATATACCACCCTACATTCTAGCTTCTCTGCTCAACTTTCAGCTACATAGGTACCAGAAAGTGTTAACTATGTAGGAGCCAAAACATCTGAACACAGTGAAGCACTGCAGGAATTCTCTCCACACATTTACCCCAGTGAAAAAGCACAGAAAATCTTCTGTGTAAATCTGAGAGAAGTTAATTCATCACCAAATGTCTAAAAATCACAGCAGAGCCTCAAGAAATATGAAAAAAAGGAGGAAATACTTCCTCTCTCAAAGAAACACAGTAACTCCACATCAATAATGGATATAAAACAAGAAATCATATAGATGTCAGAAAAAGAATTCAGCATATTTATTATAACTGAACTCAGTGAGATAGTAGAGAAAACCAGAAAACCAATCTCAGAAGATGAGAAAGATATTCTATGACTTGAAGTAAGAACTCCATAAAGAGATAGATATCCTGAAAAAGGACCAAACAGAGTTTCTGAAGTCAAAGAGAAAATAAAAAACTTTCTTAAATGTACTAACAACAGATTAGACCATGCAGAAGAAAGAATCTCTGACCTCAAAGACAATTTTCTGACTTAGTCCAAGCAACCAAGAATGTAAAAATAACCACTAAAAAATGAGTACAATATATAAGAAATTCTAGATATCATTAAACAGCCAAATATTCATACGATATTAATCGCACTAGTGATAGGATAAATTCCCAGCAAAGGCCTCACAACATGATGTACTGGGACAAGCACAAAAATCATTCATGGGTTCCTCCTAGCAAAATTGCAGAACTTGAATCAGGTGGAAATATCAGACAGACTCAAACTGATGGGTGTTCTACAAAATGCCAGGCCTGGAATTATTAGAAACTTTAGCATCTGGAATACAGAGTATGACTATTCAGGTGAAAGGAAACTAAAGATTAATGACTTGATTTGATGCAATGTGTTTTCTGGATTGCTTTTGGTTGTTTTTTGTTTGTTTGTTTGTTTGTTTTTGTATAAAGAACATTATTGGAATATTTGCTTAAATCTGAAGAATACAGATTAGATTACAGTATCTATAGATACTGTAAATATAAACTAGTGTTTATCCTCTGGTTTTGATAGCTGCATTTTTGTTGCATAAGAGGGTGTCTTTTTTTAAAATGAAGTTTAATATATGTAGGGTAATGGAGCATGTCTCTGTAGTTCATGTTGACACTTTTCCTGGCTCAGGGGAAAACATATACATAGACACATGTTCACACACATGTATGAGAGAGAGGGAGAAGAGAGGGGGAGAGGATAAAGCAAATATAATGATAACATTTGGGTATCTAAATAACAGGCCTGTATATATTATCTGCATCACTTTTTTATATATCTAAAATTATGTGTAAATTTTTAGAAGTTAATTTGATGAAGCTTCTAGGAATGTTTCATAGAATAAAAAGTTAAAAATTAAGTCTTTCATATTTAACTGACTTATGTTTAAAAGTTTTCAGTGTTTTATGTTAGGGCACATAAAACTTGTGATTCCATAGTGATGATCTCTTGCAACAAAATGAATTTAGATTTTTAACTTGTTTAGAGACTAAGTAAAGTTATGTAACATCAAGTTCATCCATGAAGTTCTCAGTGGGCATAGTAAATTTGTAAAGCAGAAAGAGAACGGAACTGCAGATCAGAAGACCAGGAGTCTACTTTTAGTTCTGCCATTCACTAAGGTAATGTCTAAAGCTGGGCTCTTGGCTACAAACTCAGCCATTTAAAGAACAGTGAATCAACTGGGGAGAAGATAGACACAGGCCTAGTCGGGATGACATTTTAGTGAACACTAGAGGAAAATTATTATGGTAAAATTGAAGGAGATTTTCTAAACCCTTGTAAACTTACATGTATTTATTAACTTTTAGTATTGCCATATGCTTCTTTGTACTGACAAGTACAAAGTATAATGCTTTTAATAAAAAAGTGTATGTGTGTATTTAAAGAACAGACAAGTCGAGATTGTAAAAACACTTATGCCTTTGTCAATGTTTGTCCACCATAAAAGGAAGGGAAAAAAAATGGATATTCAATGTGGCTGTGACTGTTTTCCTTCCCAGTGAACAGAATATTTGAATTATATAAACCTTGCTATAAAGAATAGTTACTAAATTTTTTAATGTTTATATTAAACAGATGTGAGAATTTAGCTATTTATTTACGTTATCCTTAAACAACTGACATTTAATATTTAATCCAATTATAGCTTACCTGAGAGGAACTTCAGTCACTAAGTTTCCTTAAAGTTGGATTACTATGATTTTCATTGATTCAAATGACAGCGATGACCTACCTGTAAGTTACAATGACAGTGTCTCACAATAGAAGCTATGACAAGGCACAGCACAGTGTAATGGAGACCAGCAGGTGCTGTCACTAGGGCTCATTTGATGATTTTTAGTAGCTCATTTTAAACTCACAATGGTGACTCAGTTTTTAATTAGAAAACTCACTTTTATCTCTCTATTTTTTAAAGAATTATTTATTTAATTTTATTATTATTATTTTTAATTTGATGAGAGAGAGAGAATAAGAAAGCAAGCCAACATGTCAACTCAAACTACAGTCAGCCATGTGAGAGTTCAGTGCCTTAACTATCATGTCACCTGCCAGCCCCAATGGTGAGACTTTTAAATTTTTTTTTTAAGTATAAACTTAAAACTTGAGTGAGTTAAGAGTCAGAAAATGAAATTATGTTTATAATTAAGTTGTATTTCTTAAAATTACAATCTAAATAGAGTTTGGCTCTTGGTAGGGGAGATGCTAAATAAATATAATTGTTGTCTTTTATTGGCTTTAATATCAATGATACAATTTAACAAATTCAATCTGATTGGCTAACTTTCTAAGGCTGATGTCACCCTAACCTTTGCCTATCCAGGAGCAGAGGGAAAGTAAGGCCACTTGGCCCCAGCTCACCATCAAAGCCTCTTGCTGAGCCCAGGGTATGGGAAGAGCAGCTGACTTGACCTGTGCACTGCACATGGCATGTTATATAATTTTATATACCACCCTACATTCTAGCTTCTCTGCTCAACTTTCAGCTACATAGGTACCAGAAAGTGTTAACTATGTAGGAGCCAAAACATCTGAACACAGTGAAGCACTGCAGGAATTCTCTCCACACATTTACCCCAGTGAAAAAGCACAGAAAATCTTCTGTGTAAATCTGAGAGAAGTTAATTCATCACCAAATGTCTAAAAATCACAGCAGAGCCTCAAGAAATATGAAAAAAAGGAGGAAATACTTCCTCTCTCAAAGAAACACAGTAACTCCACATCAATAATGGATATAAAACAAGAAATCATATAGATGTCAGAAAAAGAATTCAGCATATTTATTATAACTGAACTCAGTGAGATAGTAGAGAAAACCAGAAAACCAATCTCAGAAGATGAGAAAGATATTCTATGACTTGAAGTAAGAACTCCATAAAGAGATAGATATCCTGAAAAAGGACCAAACAGAGTTTCTGAAGTCAAAGAGAAAATAAAAAACTTTCTTAAATGTACTAACAACAGATTAGACCATGCAGAAGAAAGAATCTCTGACCTCAAAGACAATTTTCTGACTTAGTCCAAGCAACCAAGAATGTAAAAATAACCACTAAAAAATGAGTACAATATATAAGAAATTCTAGATATCATTAAACAGCCAAATATTCATATAATGGGTGTTCTAGCAGGTGAACGAATGGGTAAAGGCTTAGAAAATCTCGTTCATGACATATTAGTTGAAAGCTTTACAAATGTAGAGAGGCATACAGAAATCCAAATTCAGGAAATGCAAAAAGAAATCACATAGATTTAACATAAGAAGATCCTCTCCAAGGCATACAATAGCCAAACTGATAAAAATCAAAGACAAAGACAATATTCTAAAA